TGTTTTGATGTGGGGTGCCATGGCATGGGCTGTGATCCTTTTATTTATTGTCTCCTATGTAGCAGGGATCACAGGCATTAGCCACCATACTCGGCTTCTACTGATTTCTCTTTACCTTTTTAAAGTGGCGACTGGAGGAAGACAGCCATGCGGCTTCAGCTGCACCGTGCTGGCCAGGGCTGCCCTGGGAAGTCCTTCCTCTTGGAGGGGACGAGACTCTAGCCCGAACCGCACAGGCTGTCATGGAGCGAGGAGGGCTGGCAGGGAATGGGGCAGCCCTGGGGTTGACTTACATGCCTTGAGTGTTGAAAAGTGCAAGATTCCAGATCTTCGGAAGTGATACCCCTGCTGGCCAGTGCCCTGGGCTTCTGGAGCTATGTTCCTGGAGGTGCATTCGGCATCTGAGAGGTGGCCTGGGCCTTGCATTCATCATCGTTTGGGGCTGCTGTAACAGAGCAGTGCAGTGCGCGTGCACACACACACACATACATACACACACAGGGTGACAGCGTGGCTCAGTGGTAGCCGCTTGCCTTGCATGCATGAGGCCCTGGGTTCGATTCCTCAGTGCCACATAAGCAGAAAACGCTGGAAGTGGCTCTGGCTCAAGTGGTAGAGCTCTAGCCTTGAACTGAAGAGCTGACAGACAGTGCCCAGGCCCAGAGTTCAGGCCCCACGACCGACAAAAATTTTATTCTGCGGTTCTGGAGGCTAGAGTCCTGCGATCAAGGAATGTACTAGGTACTGGTTCCTAGTACCAAGGTACTAGGGCTGGTTCCTCCCAAGAGCTCTTATTTCCACCTGCAGGTGCTTTTACCCGTGGCCCTCCCTCACTGTGCTGGCTGCGTCCTGTCCTCTCCTTATAAGGACTCACTAGATCCGTGTCTTAATGGCCTCCGTAAAGGCCCTGCGCCTCATGACTGGCCTCCGTCTCCTAGCCAGAGTGACTCCATCTTGCACCATTTAGTGCCAGACTGCAGCACCCAAGCCCTTCTTTCCCTGGGACGACAGCGTCTGCCCACGCCCGCAATCCCCACCCCCATGAGGGGGAAGGAGCTCACAAAATGTGCAACTTTGTCAAGGTCATTTGAGTTGTAGTCACTTCTGTTCTGACACGAGGTGTCGCTGTCGTCCAGACACTGCTATAAACTCCGAAGACTCATGGGAGTGTGTGTGTGTGTGTGTGTGTGTGTGTGTGTGTGTGTGTGTGTGTGTTCTAGGAGACTGGACAGGTCTATAGGAGATATGGACCAGGCCCGGGCTAGGTAAATACAGTCCCTTGTAGTTGTCCACTGCTCTTTGAGTAACCTCCACTGACTTGTATAAGTCATTCTTTGGGCTGTGGGTGTCAGCACAGTTTGGAATTATTCAACTCTTCAGCCCTCCTGGGGAAATTCACACACACCCTGTCCCCAAGTACAGCCCCATTCTAAGGTCCTGGGGCTTGGGGACTTCAACATAAGAATTCAGCCCAACACAGACTCTGGAGCAGGGTGTCTTGTCTGAGCTTGAGAGAAGGGCTGTGTCCCTCAGGGGTGTCCACGTAGTGCTGGGCAGGGCAGCTCCTTGGTGGAGCCTGGCAGAACAGGTAAGTACAAGCCGGAGGTTGAGGCTGGCCGGGATGGACGCCCTGCATCCGGGCTGTGTGGATGGAGTGGGCCTCCTGGTCTCGGGTCCCTTGGGGACAGCCATGCCACTTCCCGTGACTCTGTTGGGCACCGGGGCATCACGGGCAGTGCTCAGGCAAGGCCAGAGGTGGGCTGTGGGCAGTATGTGGAGGGCAGGGGCCGTGCTGAGGTCAGGCTGAGGCCAGGGGCTGGCTTCTACAAGGAGCTCATCTCCATGTGCCTGAATCCACTTTTAGTTGGATGCTGAGCAGGGCTGGTTTAAACATGGGGAGGCCTAGGCTCAGAGTCTACCCCGCTCTCCTGCCTGAGCACCTCCCAGATGCCAGGGGCGCCACGGCTTCCTGGGAAGCATGCTGGAGCCAGCTCGGCACCCAGGAGGCTGAGGCGGGAGCGTCATGGTTGTGAGTCCAGCCTGGGTTATACACTGAGACTGTCTCTAAAAGGAAGCCAGCTGAGGGTCCGCCAACACCTGTCCTTGCATCGTGGGGATGGAGTCGGCCCCTTGCTAGTCCCTTCCCTTTTCAGAAGATGTTATGGTGTGGCTCAAAGTCCAGCAGATTAACCTTTTTAGCATGTACAGCTTAGGGGCCTGCATAGAACCAGGCGGGCACTGCCAGTTTCCCAGGGCTGGAACCTCCACAGCCCTCCAGTCCTCAACCTCCTCCCGCCCCTCCCCAGGACCGTCAGTCTGTGTTTGGTCTACCGATGCAATTATTGAGGTCCTTTCCTATGAATGGAGTCCTTTGGGGACTGGCCTGAGGCCCTCCAATCATCCACATGGTAGCAGGTGTCAAAGCAAACTTGCTTTTTTTTTTTTTTTTTTGGTCCGGTTGTGGGCCTGAACTCTGGGCCTGGGCGCTGTCCCTCAGCTCTTTAGCTCAAAGGCTAGCACTCTACCACTTGAGCCACAGCACCACTTCTGGCTTTTTTTTTCTGCTTATGTGGTGCTGAGGAATCGAACCCAGGGCCTCATGCTTGCAAGGCAAGTGCTCTACCACTGAGCCACCTTCCCAGCCCACAAACTTGCTTTTTATGGCTGAATATTCCATTGCGTGTATGTCAGTCAGGGTTCTGTGGAAACAGAGCCAATGGAGTATACACAAGAGAGAAACCTCGGGTTCACCCGTTCTCAGACCTCAGACATTGTGGGGAGCGGATGCACATGGTGTGGGTGAGATACGGTGTCCCGCTAGGGGACCCAGGAAAGCCAGTGGGTTAAAGGAAGTTCTTGTCCAAAGGCCATCGGGCAGGAGGTCAAAGAGGCACGGAGACCTCACAGGTCGGGTGACTCCCCTTCACTGGGCTTTTGTTCTACTCAGACCTTTAGCTAATTGGACGAGCCCCTCCATGCAGAAGAGCAAAGACCCTCTGCTTTGCTCTTCCATGGACTCAAACGCTCCTCGTGTCCAGTCATGCTCCAGTGGACGCCGGATGGTCATGGTGACCCTCAAAGTGCCCCTCACAGCAAGGGCGGACCATGCACGATGGATGCAGCCACCCACCAGCTGCTGGGCATCAGCCTGCCGTCCGTGCAGCACTGTGAACATGCTGGTTTTCCAGACTTGCGGCCCTGTCTCAATCGCCATTTCCACCTTGGAATGACTTGTGTGCTGGTGTTCTTTGGGCAGAATTCAGGCTGAGTCCACAGCTCTGAAAATGAGACCAGACCACTGACCCTGAGCTTGACAGGGCCAGGGGAAAAGGGGCCACACCCAAACACAACAGAGAAATCCCAGGCCCACAGCTCACACTTGTGCTCAGAGAGCCAAGTCTGGGCCTCCTCTTGTCACTTTGGTTTGAGGCTAGTGTGAGGGTCAGTTTCGAGGGGGGGAGGGAGGAGAGGAAGGACCTACATCTGCACTGGGCCGTTTCTGTTCATAGGGTTCCTCCAACCCTCTCGACTCACCATGCCCAGCCCCACGTTGCCATGCTCTGTAGCTCCCTTTGCCCTCCCGCTGGGGCTCAGTGTTCACGACTGTCCAGGGCGCCTCCCTCTGCCTTCCGGACCGCTGCAGCCTGCCTAGGCTGTGGCTAGGGTGGGCAAGGTGACCCCTCCCCTCAGAGGGAAGGACAGGAGCCACGGGGGGGGGGGGGACGGGAGGCTCCTGCTGGGTTCCCTCCAAATGGAAAGCTCTCTCCCCAGGTTGCAGCCTCCGGCGCGCACCCCCCCCCCGCCCGTGGTGAGGGTGGGCTGCAGACCCCTGTGGGACGTTGGAAATGGCATGGCCCCCACTTTGTTGCACTCCTGCTGTGTTGGACGAGACCATCCTGCTGAGGGAGCCAAGTGACACGGGAGGGGGGCGGGGGGGGTGTTAGCAAAATCCGGATCATCAGCATCATTTTTTATTGCAAATTAGTTAACAAAAAAGATGAAAAAAATACATCATTTCCATTACCTACAGTTTTGCATGTAGATAACTTGGGGTATTTTTGTTTTCTTTTTTCTGTAAACTACTCTATTTTATAAACAGTAAGAATCAATATCTTAGGATGTGTCTGGTCATGGCCTGCAGGGATGGCACCACACTGCTCCCCAAGACTCTGGGAGGTGGGCACGGCCCCCAAGCGCCCCCCCCCAGGGATTTGGAGGCCTTGGAGAGCCAGGGCAAGGCCGACCCCGGGCTGTGCTCTCAGGAGCTACTGGCAGCTGCAGGTCACGAGGCCTGGCTTACACTGAGCTGAGCCACATTCTGACAAACCTCATCAGCTTGACACAGAAAAGACTTGTTCGTTTGATTTTTTAAACAAAATCCACCTTTTAAAATGTATTTACAGACATTTACTCTGCCACAGGCTTATACTCGATGCTGCAACAGCCTTGCGTGAGGCTGGGCCAGCACCCCTGAGCCAGGAGGGTGCACCGCAGCAGGCTCCACACCTCCCTCCAGCCCCCGCACAGCTGGACACAATGCGTCCCCACGCACAGCGACAGGACCCGAGGATGTGGCCCTCACTCCCCCATCCCCGATCTCAACACAGGTTTCTCTGCCAGATCAGCTACACACAGGCACTCTTCAGCTGCCAGGGCCCGGGCCCAGGGCACCAGTCTGTCCTCTGCTGGACTTGAACAAATGCTGCTGAAGTTGTGGTGCTGGACCCTGAGGGGCCGGCCCAGGCAGTGTCCTTTCCCAGAAGAGGGCAGGATTCCCCCTCACAGCCCATAGCAGAACCTGCATGCGCACCAGTCCTGGAGGCTTCACGGTCAGGAACGCGGCAGTGGGGACTAGAAGAGGCTGTAGGGAAAACTCTCAATACCTATGACCACTAAGTAACACTGAACCCCAAAGATTCATGATTGGTGCCACAGAACGTACTCTTGCTACATGCCAAGAATCCTTAAAGCACGGTTTAGAAACGCCAAGTACAGACCACTGCATTTAACTTGTATTTCCTGTTTTAGACAAATGAACACAAGCCCACGTGGGCAGCTTTGCTTCTAGCGAGCGCTCTGGTAAAAACAGATGACGCCGGGGATGGGTGGCCGCGGGAGGGCCGCACTGGCGCCGCTCAGGTTCCAGCTTTCCTCCTCCATCACCATTTGTTTTGGATTTCGAAAAGAAGGCATCAATAAATAAATGGCATTTATAAATCATGAATCTTTGTTCATATTTTACAAACACATAAGGATCTTCTTCAGCCTAACTAGGAAAATGACTCTGACTGAGAACTAGTTTATTTCCTTGGAACAGATAAAAGGTTTTACCTGGCGCCATAGAAAACAGTACATATAAATAAAAAGGCAGTGTTTCTGTGTAAAATAAGAAGTACATAAATAAATACTAAAAAAAAGTCGAAATCCTTGTTCTCTTATTCTGTATAAAAAACATAGTTTTTTTCTTTTTCTTTTCTTTAAAAAAAGGCTCCTTTGGTGGCCGGGGCATCCTGGAGTGCTGGAAACGCCCGCCCAGCAGGGCTTGGGAACGGAAGCTGGGGTCCCACTGGTGTGGTTTACTTGAACGCTTCTGGAATGTGGGCGATCTGAGATTGCATACTGGTGGGCGGACTGGAGATGCCCTCGGACCAATCAGAGATGTTGGAATGTGGGGAGGAGCTGGACCACTGGTCTGGAGACTCAGGGGAGGGCGTGAGGAAGGGGTGCTCTGGCACCTGCAGCTGATGGCTGGGGGTGTTGTCCGCGGGGGAGGAGGAGTAGCTGTGCTGGGAGGGCGGGGTCAGGAACTGGGCAGTAGTCATAGGCGGCACCAGAGAGGATGGCAGTGAAGTGGACAGGGCCTGGGGCTCCTGGGGCAGGACGGTGTGCACCGGCAGGCTGCTGGGGCCCAGTGGCTGCACGTCCACCTGGCTTGACTCCCCACTCAGGAAGCTCCGGCCCAGGGGCCCATTGGTGGCAGAGCCAAGGTGTGGCTGTGTTGGTGGCTGCAGGTTCTGGGGCTGTGGGATGTTTGGTGGGGGCAGGTTTGGCTGTGGCACCGGCTGGGTCTGTACCAGGTGGGGCTGGGCGGCCAGCCGCGTGTTGGGCAGGCCCTGGTAACCCATGATCTGGGACAGCGTGTTAGCAGACAGGCCGCCATGCAGGGACCCCAGCATGCCGTGCTGCAGGGCGGGCGCCTGGGTGCCCAGGGCGCCTGGCACCACGCCCGCTCGCAGTGGGTTGTACTGGTTTGGCACCATGCCATTCTGCAGCCGGCTCAGCCACTCACACTGCCCATTCAAGCTCGTGCTGGTGCCCACGGTGAAATTCACAGCCGCCCCACCACTGGCGCCCAGGACCGTGCTGGGGGTGGAGGCCACAGGGAGGTGGGAGAGGCGTGGGGGGCCGGGCTCAAAGGCCAGCGGGCCGCCCCCGCTCAGGGCTGCCACCTCTGGCTTGGTGGCCACATTCAGGTGGCTGATGGCCATGTGGACATCAGGCATGCCAGGCAGGTGGTTGAGAGGCATGGATGGAGACTGCTGGAACGGGGAGGGCAGGAGAGGGGGCGAGGCCACGTCCGACAGGTAGCCGTGGGGGGACTCCAGGGAGCCCACGGGGGACAGCATGCTGGAGCTGTCCAGCAGGCAGCCCTTGCCATCCTGGGACTTCTTCCTCCGTGCCTTGAGGTCTTTGGGCTCTTTGGCGCCGCAGGCCAGGCCTTTGGTGCTGGGCTTGCGGGCCTTCTTGCCCTGTGTGGTGGGCTTGAGGTTGCCCAGGTAGCCATTAGGCGAGCAGAGCGTGGGTGACAGGGTGGGCGTGCCGCCCAGGGCGGAGCCGTGCAGCTGGGGGCTGCGCACCAGGTTGTACTCATCCAGCAGCCTCACGATGTCGTGGTGCATGCGCTCCTGGGCGATGTCGCGCGGCAGTCTGTCCATGTGGTCTGTGATGTCCCGGTTGGCAAAGTGGTCCAGCAGCACCTTGGCAGTCTCGTGACTGCCCTCCCTGGCAGCCAGGAACAGGGGTGTCTCTTCCTGGGGGACAAAGGCAAGGGGCAGGTCAGGGGCGGTCCCACTCTCTCCTCCCACAGCAAGACAAGAAGCCCGCACAGACTCCATCCCAGCATCCTGCACTACCGAGTCTGTCTTTTTAAAAGCACTGTTGGAGCCTGACACCAATGGCTCACCCCTGTAATCCTAACTGCTCGGGAGAGGGAGATGGAGGATCACAGTTTGAAGCCAACCCTGGCAAGAAAGTCTGTGAGACTCTTATCTCCCACTAAGCACCAAAAAGCCAGAAGAGGACCTGTGGCTCAAGTGGTAGAGTGCCAGCCTTAAGAGAAAAGGTGGATGAACAGTGTCTTGGTCCTGAATTCAAGCTCCAGTACCAGCACCAAAAACAAACAAATAAGCCTCCAAAATGCTTTGGACACATTACCTGACAATCCACCCAGGAAAGCGTGTGAGTTCACAGACACCACTGAAAATCTAACGAACCTTAACTCTCCTCCCCAAACCACACAGACATAACACACTGTGGCCTAGGGGAAGGCGCCTCCAATCCAGAGGGCACCAGTGGCTCCTTCCCTGTTGTGCCCAGTGCCACACATGTCCACCAGGAGCCTCCCAGGCCACGGCCCCAGCAGGCCATCCCCAGGCTGGAAGTGATCAGGCCACCTGCCCCACCGTGGACTGGCGAGAGCCCAAACCCAACGGTGCCTCCTGAGGGCTGACACCTGCCCACTCCCCCGCCTGGCTTGAAATGAGCCCTGGCGGCCTGCACTGTGGGGTGAGGGAGGTGGGCATCCCCACTCCACTTGGCCTGGGGGCCTGAATGCTCACGGGAGATCTACCACAGGAGGGGAGTCAGCAAGGACCCAGCCAGGCTCAGCCTTAGTGCTCAGAAGGAAGGAAACAGACCAGGAGGAGAGATCTGAGCAGGAGGCATGGCCAAGACAGGGGGTAGGGCCAGGCCAGGAGGCGGAATCACCAGGAAAGACCCTCATAAGAGGCACAGAGCCACCCCCACCCCAGGCTTCTGGTTGAACCTTCAACACCTGGGCTACCATCTTCCCCAGGACAAGGGCTGACGGAAGGCAAAATCAGGTAACAGTGGCAGAGGACGCAGCGGCTACCCCGTTGCCTGGGCCAGTGCACAACAGGTCCCCGCTGTAGTGACCCCAGTTCCCAGCCCTGCCTGCCCCCGGGAGGGGCCAGCCCTGCCCAGGATGCCCTGCTAATGGCCATGAGGGAGCCCGAGGCGAGGCGCCCCCTGGCCGCTGCGCCCGAGGCGAGGCACCCCCTGGCCGCCGCACTCGCTCACCTTGTTGTTCTGCATGTCCTTGTTGGCCCCGTTCTTCAGGAGCACCACTGCAGCGTCCACATTGTTCACAGCAGCTGCCCAGTGCAGGGCTGACTTGCCTGGAGGGAGGCAGACAGGAAGTGAGTCAGAGACAGACTGGACCGCAGCCACAAGTCTCCCAGCAGCGGGCTGCGGCCCCAGCCTACCCAGGTCGTCCACGGCATTGACGTCTGCGTGCGAGTTGATGAGGTCCTCCAGCATCCCCTCCACAGCCAGACGAGCAGCCAGGATCAGCGGCGTTGTGCCGTCATGCATGCGTGCGTCCAGGTCTGTGGCTCGGTTCCGGATCAGGATCTGGGAGGTGGTGAAGGGCAAGATTCAGGCGAGGTATTGCAAACATGAGCCCGATGCCTCCAGCTACCGCTGGCCTGGGGCCTGACTACACATCCTGCCTGCCTCTCCCCGCCGACCCCTGGGGTCCGAATGTCCTCAGCAGCATGGACACCACCAGCAAACCGTGATCCATGTGCAGGGCAGGTGAAGGCTTCCTGGGACAGCACAGGCCTATCGGACCACGTGCGGCCTTGTCTAACAGTCCTGGGAGCTATGGCCACCGCGCTGGCTGTCAAGATCCTGCCAGCATTTGCGGTGTGGCCACGTTGTAGACCCCAACGCACAGCTTTTGCTTTTCCATACTCAGAACGGAAAGTGGTCACCTTGGTTGACAGAGTGACCCGTAGCCCTGCCCGGGTTCCTGCAGAGCTCCCATGAACAAAGCAGGGCACCTAAGTGTGGGCAGGACCTGCCCCTGGGGCTCACGTGCATTTTCCTCTCGTGGCTAATTTCACTTTCTATTTCTTCAGAGGAAAGACGTAGCACTCTAGTTAAGGGCAAGCTCTGTGATGACACCTGGTTTGGGGCCCCTCTGAGCCTGCTGGCCAGGCAGGAGGAGCCACCACTAGCAATGTTCCCTAGAGACCAGAATCCAAAGCCCCAAATCCACCCTGGCTGGCCCCAGGCTCCCCAGCAAGGCCCGAGCCCAGGCTCACAGGTGCCAGTGGAGCCTCTCCAGCCCTCTTCTCACTGCCATGGCTATGCCTGCAGCCGCGGCTAACGGGAAGGCTACCGAGGCACCAGCACTGGTTCCGTGACCTCAGAGAGGGCCCGTGGCCCTCGTGACGGGACCCTGTGTTGGGTGGGGGTATGGAGGCTCTATCTTACCCTGTGGGACCCATAGATCTCCTGCTGAACCACCTCTAGCTTCCTCAGATTCCAACAGGAGGGGCTAGATGCCCTCCCGGAGTGTGTCCTTCAGCATGCAAAGATCCAAAGTGTGGATACCTGTGTTCCGTGCCAAGGTCCACTCGCAACGAGGCACCCAAGGCCACGGTATTAGCAGAGTCACCGCCTCTAATCACACTGGTGGTCTCCAGGATGACACGCGGGCAGAGCTACCTACCTGGAAGACGCCCTGTGCATCTGCGGAAACGGCTGCGTGCAGTGGGGTACGCCCCATGTTGTCCTGGATGTTGGCATCCGCACTGGCCTCCAGCAGGCGCTTGGCAGCATCGGAGCGCGAGTAGCGGGCAGCCAGGTGCAAGGCGGTCTCACCCGTGCGGTCTGTCTGGTTGTGCAGGCTGGCGCCCTGATAGATGAAGTCAGAGATGACAGCCGGTGCGTCCTCCTCCTCCTCGCTGTTGCCTGTCTCCAAGCCCCCTCCGCTGCAGGAGGCGATCATGAGCGGGGTGAAGCCATCTGGGGAGAGGGCAGGGGGGGGGTCGTGGTTCAGACTGGGAGGGTCAGCTCTCATCCACAGCTCTGGGTGCCAGGCAGTGAGCCCGATTTCAAGGGGGCAGCCGTGTGGACATGCGGCTGTACGGACACAGCCATGCACCAAGGGCTGCTGACACTACCCTGAGCCTCTTGAGGGTGGTGCCCAAGTCTAGCTGCCAACATGCCAGTGAGTGATGGTGACTCCTACAGCTTTTCTCCCTGACCTTCCCGAGATCGTGCATCAAAAACCCACCCAAGAAAAAGACAGGAGGTTTGCACTTAGAAAACCAGCCTGCCTTACATGTTTCACAAAGCAGATGTCAGGGAAAGGGGTGAACTTACGGGGCAGAGGCATCTGCAGGGTCAGCCCGAGTGACTCAGCCTCTCCCCCCCGCCCCCCCCGGCCCCCCATCCCGCCCCCCGCCAGCCTCTCTGGGTCTGAGGAAGCCTCGCCGTGGCCTTACCTGGCCCTCGGACATTGACGTCCATGCAGTCAGCATCCACCTCGCCCTGGGGGGGCGTGGGGGCCGTGGCGGACGTGCGCAGGTCAGCCGCATCCAGGTGTTGCTGGGTCCACTGCCGGTGGTCTGTCTGGTCATCCAGGTCAGGGAGAACCACGGGCCCTTCGAACTAAGTTTGCAGGGGATGAACAGAGAGCCCCTTCACCGAGAAACCCCGGCCCGGCATGCCTCCCCCGGAAGCCTAGAGCCTGCGGGACTCACCCGGAACTTCTTGGTCTCCAGGTCCTCGTCCCCCCACTCGTTCTGGTTGTCATCCATGAGGGCGCCATCCGAGGCATGCTTCAGGGGCCTGGTGGGGGGTCGGAGGCGAGAATGAGCAGAAGTGAGAATTCACTTCCCAGGAGATGCCCTGCAGCTGCGGCTCAGGGTGGGAATGGGGCCGGCAAGCCTCCCGGGTAGCTGTCCCGCTCCTCCCCACCCCCCCGGCCGGGAACAGCTGCCCCTTACTTGAGACCCACGGAGTCCTCGCCCAGGGGCTCACGCCGCTTCTTCTTGCTGGCCTCGGACACCTTGAATCCCTCGGGGAACCAGAGCTGGCCATGCTGCCGCCGCCGCTTGCGGGACAGCAGCACCCCGCAGCCCACGAAGCACAGCAGCACAAAGGCGGCGACGGCCACGTACATGAGATGCAGCTGTGAGGGCGGCGGGGGCTCTACGGTCTCACCTGCAGACAGGGCGCCCGGAGTCAGACGCAGCAGTGTGGCGGGCCGGCAGCCGGGGACGGTGGGCTGGCTGTGCGGCCGGCGCCTCCTCACCCGCTCTCCTCATCCCGCCCCCCAAAATAAGGTCATTTTCTACGCGATTAATCAGAATTGCAAACTATCGCTAAATTCTCTCCTGCACCAGCCGACTCCGTCTGGAGACGGCTTTCACTTCTCCCCTTTCGGGGAGAAGGATTAGCTAACTTCGAATCGCTGCTCTAGCATCGAGCTGTTAAGACAAAGGATTTAAGGGGATTTTCAAGATACAAACTTCAACACTTCACATGACACCGATCAATTCTTCTCTCTCTCTTTCAAAAAAAGCTGCAATGATTTTGAAATAATACCCAACAAAGAAAAATCAGGGGGAAGGGCCAGGGAGAGAAAGGAGTCTCCCACTTTCTGGTGGGCGTGCTCATCCCCAGGGTATCTCCACCGACAGCTGCCACTGTTGGCAGGGAGGGCGTGCCATCTAGAAAATTCCAGAAGCACTTCGTGAACCCTGGAGGGCAAGGCCTACAATGGTGGTGGCGGCTGCACCATGAGCAAGCGTGGGGGTGGGGTGGGGTTGGGGGTAATTCCAACAGGCCAAACGCCTCCCTTCACACAGGAACCAGTCCCCGAGACAGAGCGGCGGGGATCACTCACTCTGCACGGCCTCGATCTTGTAGGGAATGTTGAGGCTGCCCAGAGAGGCCAGCGCCCCCAGGAATGCAGCCACGTCGGTGGCGCTTTGGAAGCACTGAGTGGATGACTGCACGCACTGCCGATTGTCGATCTCCAGGTAGACGATGGACCTGGGGATAGACCACTGGAGCTGGGACCAGACCCTCCTCCGAGCACCCGCAGAGCCCAGGCACGTGGCCCGGGACCAACTCTGGCTCCCTATGCCATTATCCTAAGTGCCCCCGCTAAGCCCTCCCCACGCCCAACATGGCCAGACTCCTTGAGCACGCTCTCCCAGCCCCTGCCCTGCTGCCCTTCTGGCTTCCTGAGGAAGACAGAGAGTGTGCTTGGGCCCTAGAAGTGCAGGGATGCAGAGTAGGGCTCCCTCTGCATGCGTCCAAGGTGAAGGGGCGCAGGCAGCAGGCTCAGAACCCCGGCCCCGAGAGCAGCCAGGCTGCCCACCCTCGGGACCTGGCTTCCATGCACAGTGTTGTTTTGTGCCAGTCCTAGAGCTTGAACTTGACGCTTCCGGCTCTCACTTGGGTTTTTCCTGCCACTTGAGCCACATTTCCACTCCCAGTCTTTTGGTTAATTGCAGATAGGAGTCTCATGGACTTTCAGGCTGTCTTAGACTGTGATCCTCAGATCTCAGCCTCCTGAGTAGCTATGGTATGATTACAAGCGCGAGGCACCAGCGCCCGGCTTGTGCACAGAATTCTAATGTGGCTCACGCTTCTGCCCGTTGTGGCCAACCAAACCACAGCAGGGAGCCTCTGGGGTCGAGACACTGAGCTGCCACCACCCGGCCCAGTGGCCCAGCTACTCCAGCTCAAGGAAGACCAGGTGGGGGCCTAGGAGACCCAGCAGCGGGACCCCTCCCCGGGCCCCAGCTGCTCCCCCTCTCTACCCTGGACATGGTAGCCACAACAACTGAGCACACTCTTGTGGATGGTGGACTCAGCCTCGTAGAAGCCTCCAGAAGCTTCAATTGCTCCGTCCCCAAGGCCTTGTATACAGAATCTCAAACCGATCTACTAGGCAAAGGACACAGCCTGTTGGGCACTGGGGAGTGCCTATCTGTGGGAAGGACACTGTCTGGGAAGGCTGCCCCTGTTCCGACTGGGCCAGACCTGAAATCCCAGGCCGGGCCGGGGCATCCATCTCTGCTAGAAAATCAGGCACACCACTCGGCCCAAGGGCAGCTGAGGGTAGCGCAGGGCTGTCTGGTGATTGCGGGGGGAGCTGTGGAATGGCCCGCAGAGGCAGAGCTCACTCACCCGCGGATGTCCATGGGGTCCAGCTCCCTGCGCTGGCGCCCCCCATTGCCGCCGGTGCTGGGGAGCAGCGAGGCTGGGGTCTGGCTGAGCAGGCTGCCGGGCGGGGCCCAGCCCACCGCGGCCCGCTTGATGGGGTGCTTCCGCAGCTCCTCCTCGTGGCCATAGTAAGGGAAGATCATCTGCTGGCCCTGCGCGTCGCGCTTGAAGACCACGTTGGTGTGCAGCACGTGGCTGAGCTCCCGCAGGAAGTGGAAGGAGTTGTTGCGCAGCTGCTCGGGCGGCAGCAGCACCACCACCACCAGCGTGCCCGCCGCCAGCCGCTCGGGCACGTGCTCCGCGCAGTCCAGCCCGTCCCACTCGCACTCAGCACTGTTGCAGCCCTGGTCGCAGTGGCCGTCGCTGAAGTGGTCCTTGCAGTACTGGTCGTACAGTGGGCTGCGGGGGGCAGGGCACGCTCGAGCCGCCGTCCAGCTCGGCCTGCCGCCACCTCTCCTCTGCCCCCCGGGCCTGGTCCCCCTTGTGCCAGACCCGAGCCCCGCGCGGCCGCGGCCCCCGCGAAGCTTACTTGCACTGGCCCTCGGCGTGCTGGCAGTCAAAGCCGTCGAAGAGGCAGCCAGCCGTGTTGCACTGGGGGTCGCAGCGGCCGTTGCTGAAGTACTTCCAGCACTGCAGGGCCTGCGTGCAGTTCTTCCACGGGTCGTTGAAGTTCAGGGAGCAGTCGCCGCCGTCCCAGCCGCACGCGTGGTTGTTGCACTGCGGGTTACACACCTTGTTGCCCGCGTCCTCCTGGCACTGGGACAGCGCACACGCCTCCTCGATCTGCGGGGGCGGAATGTCGCGCCCCACGCCGCCCGTGAAGCTGTAGTCCAGGATGTGGCACAGGAGCCCGTTGAACTTGGCGGGGCACAGGCAGCGGTAGAAGGGGCTCTCGGATGTGGGCTCGCAGCTGCCCTGGTTGTAGCAGGGGTTGCCGCCCACGCAGGGGCTGCTGGCCGGGAACTGGCACTCGGGGCCCGTGAAGGGGTCCAGGCACAGGCAGGTGGGGCTGCGCGGCCCGGAGATGCACGTGCCGCCATTCAGACAGCGCAGACTCCCGCACGAGCGGGCATCGTTCTCACAGGTGGCACCCTCGAAGCCCTGCCGGAGGAGAAGGACGGCAGGGGGTCAGACACAGCCGCCCCAGTGCAGGCCGGGAGAGGATTCTGTGGCCTGTCCCCAGCTGCAAGGCCTCTGAAAACATGTGAAGGTTGCCAGGGGTTTTGGAGAGGGAGGGGAGGATGGACAAGTGACCCTCCAGAGGTGGTGGGGGTGCGCGTGCATGTCTCCACACCTAATGCAAACCCGACGTTACCTTCTGGCTGGAGTGAGCACAAGCTAGCAACACTGTCAGTACTGGCTTTCACTGTGACCTCCAGGCCCTTTAAGAGGCTAACAATAGAAACCCCCCCAAAACAGGGGAGAGGGAAAGAGGGAAGGTGCTGGAGAGGAGCAGCAGAGATGAGGCACAAGGACCTCTTCCTACACCGGCCACCCAACTCGGCAGCTAAAACTCTAAAATGAGTTAGCATTCTAAAAATGAGCCAGGCTGTGACTCAGGCCTGTGATCCTAGCTACTGAGGAGGCTAAGATCTGAGGTCACTGTTCGAAGCCAACCGAAGCAGGAAAGCAAGAAAGCCATGAGACTCTCATCTCTAATTAATCATCTAAAAACTACAAGTGGAGCTGTGGCTCAAAGTGGTAGAGCACTAGCCTTGAACAACAACAACAACAAAAAGCTCAAGGACAGTGCCCAGGCCCTGAGGTCAAGTACTACAACTGACCACCCCCCCCCCAAAAAAAAAGAAATGGTGTTGAACATGAACTATACAACTGGCAGGTAGGGATGGGAGGGAAAAACTGGGAGAGAGCAAAGGAAGAAATGGAACTGCCCAGAAAGAAATGTACTCTTTACCTGACATCCCTAACTGTAACCACTCCGTACATCATTAGAACAAACGCTACCATTTTTTAAACTGAAAAAGCACTATAAAGGTGTGTTCTTAACCAGGGGCAGAGGTGGTACAGCACTTATGTAGCAGGCGTGAAGCCCTGGGTCTCACTGGCACAAGAGAGACAAATTTAAACACGAGCAGGGGCGTAAGGAGGAGGAGACTCAGGGCCCAAACGCTGGCTTCCTCCTGGGCTGAGCTGTATGGGTGAAGGCACACAGGGAGCAGGCCCCGGGCGGTCCTGCTGCCCTCAGACCCAGCCAGGGCCGGGGCACCCTGGAGACTCCTGGCTACTCCACCTGCCGCAGGACACCTACCGCTGGACACCTGCAGATGAATCCACGGGCAATGTTGGCGGCCACGGCGCAGGTGCCCCCGTTCTTGCATGGCTTGCCCTTGCAGCCATTGATGACCGACTCGCATCTGCGCCCTGGGAGAAAGCTGGCGATGAGGCACTACCCTTCCCCCCTCCCCCAGCCGGCACCGTGCCCCGGCCCGGCCTCCCCCAGCCTCGCACCCACCAGTGTGGCCGGCTCGACACTCGCAGTGGAAGTCATTGACGCGCTGCACGCAGTTCTGGGTGCCACGCGCGTCACAGGGGTTGGACAGGCACTCGTTGACGTCACCCTCGCATCGCTCACCCACGAAACCTGGCGGGCACGTGCAGGTGTAGCCGCCCACCTGGTCCACGCAGGTGCCATTGTTGAAGCACTTTGGGCTCCGGGAAGTGGGGTCGAGCAGAGGATTACAGTCATCCACGTTGATCTCACAGTGCACGCCTTGGGGAGGGGGGACAATGGCCGTTCGAGGCTGGCACCGGCCACACCTTCACCCTGCCCTGGCCCACCTGTTCTGGCCACCGGCCCTCTAGGATGGCTTACCCTGGGTGCCCCGCGGGCAGGAGCACTTGTAGGTGTTGGTGAGGTCAATGCAGGTGCCCCCGTTCTGGCAGGGGTGGGACAGGCACTCGTTGATCTCCTCAGAGCAGTTGGCTCCATGGTAGCCGGCCACACACTGAGCAGGGGCAAAGCAGGGGCAGGGCACAGCTCAGCCGGGGCAGCGGCAATGCCCTCCTCCCATCCTGGGGGCACAAGGCCTCCCCGAGCCCAGCCAGGCCCCAGCCCCTCCCACCTTGTAGCTCTGTGGGAAGACCCCTGCCAGGCGGACCCAGAACAAAACCGAGTCACTGTCTCATGGGAGCCAAGCCGAAAGCACAGCCCAGGGTCGGAGGGCAGCCCCGCCCAACCCAGGGAAGGGAGGCTGCATCCTGCTTGCTCAGCGTTTTCTTCCCCTTAAAGGAAGTCTCTGCTGATTGCTCTGCTGATTCGTTAATGGGACGCACAGATCTGTGGGTTCGGAGTGCCCACTGTACCAGCTCTCTGCGCCTGCCTGAGGGTTCCCCCCGGGGCGGCCCGCACCTTGCAGGAGTAGCCACCCAGGTAGTCGGTGCAGGTGGCGCCGTTCTGGCAGGGGTTGGGTGAGCACTCGTCCACCTCCTCCTCACAGTAGCTGCCTGTGTAGCCAGCCTGGCAGCGGCAGTGGTGTGTGTTGTTTGCATCCACACAGAGCCCTCCGTGCTGGCACAGGTGGGCAACGTCGACGCCTGTGGGCATCGTGGGGGAAAGGTGAGCCCCGGCTTCGGTCCTGTGGGGCCGTCACGGGCCCGGACTCCACCCTCCGGCCCCAGAGCATGGCGGTTACCTTGCTCCTGCGCAGCCACCTCGCAGGACACGCTGGGCACGTCACAGTAGAAGCCGGTCCAGCCGCTGTGGCACTGGCAGCGGTACAGGGTGTTGGTCTGCCAGCACTGGCCACCATTCTTGCAGGGGGAGGAGTCACACCAGCGCACCAGGTTCTGAGGACAGGTTGGGGGTCAGCGTTCATCCCCACCAGCTTCTGATGGGGCCTCCCTCCCCTTTCTCCTCATCTTCCTCCCAACTATGGGACCACAGCCCTGACCCCGCCTCCACCAGTGGCTGGGCTGACTTGCCTTGCTCTCCCGCTGGGACTCTGCAAACCCAAACCCCCACCCCTCGCCATGTCCTTCTTCAGAAAGTTTCCAAGCCATGAAAGCTATGGGATTTCCCTGACAACAGTATGGCCGCGAGCTCCCTTCCCATCCCCAGCTTCGCCATTCCCCGGAGAACCTGGCCTGCCCTGGCTTCGTACACCCACCCTGGAACCGGGAAGGCTTCCCGATGCCTCCATGAACCCCTGGAGGATGGCCTGGCCAAGACACTGCTGGCCATTCGGATCCCAGGGACTGGCACAAGTGTGCCCGCCAGACAGGCCCCTCGGGAGCAGCAGCTTACCTGGCAGTTGAGACCGGTGTAGCCCTGGGGGCAGGTGCACTTGTAGGTGCCGTAGCTGTCTTGACAGGTGCCCCCGTGCAGGCAGGGACGAGAGTCACACTCATTGAGGTCATACTGGCAGTAGCTGCCCGTGAAGCCAGGGGGACACAGGCAGGTGAAGGAGTTGATGCCATCCACACAGGTGCCACCATTGAAGCAGGAGCTGGAGGCAGCCGGCAGCAGGGGCGGGGGTAAGCGGGTGCAGGGAGGGAGGTCCCGTCTAAGCAGACACTTCCCGACCTGCATCTCCCTGGCAGACTCATGCCGTGTCACACGTCCTTCCTGTGCTTTTTATAACACGCCAAGCGGGGCTCTACCATACCCACAGGTCTACCGTGGTTAAAGGGACAGCCAGAACAGTACAGGAAATAGCTGTGTCACAAACCAAAGATGCGATTGACATTTAACACTTGGCTTCCTGGCAGCCGTGGTGAAAGGGGTTTCGGAGCTCTTATTGTTTGCTAAGAGACTCGTGGATTCTTCCACATGAACTCCATAAGGTTTCCTGTTCTAAGCCACAGAAGCAGTTCCTTCCAATGCTCTAGAGGGAGGAGCACTACACACCGCAGGTTGGGCAGCTCAGTGCTGACTCCCGCAGGCCTGGTGGACACTCCCCCGCCCCGCCCCCCCCCCGCCCCGGGGGCCAGGCTGCCAGCCACGGTGGCCTCCCTGGCCTCTTTCCCTCCCAGTCTCCCCCAAAGCCAGGTCCACTCACAGTCCCGCGAGCGGGATGGTCCCCGCTGCCCCAGCCCACGCACGGCCCCTGTCCCTCGCACCTCTCCGTGCAGTCCGGCGTGTTGTTCTCGCAGTGGATCCCGTTGAACCCCGCGGGGCAGGTGCACGTGTAGCTGTCCACGCAGTCGGTGCAGTTGGCACCGTTGTGGCAGGGGTTGCTGGCACACTCGTTGATGTCCTCCTCGCAGAAGGCGCCCTGGAAGCCGGGCAGGCAGTCACAGAAGGCTGTGTTGATGCCATCTGTGCAGGAGCCCCCGTTGTGACACGGGTCTGCAGGGGACAGAAGCGAGCCTGAGCTGACACCCACACCCCTGCAGGAGACAGGGACACAAGGGCGGCCCAGCACTGCCAGGGCTTAAGGCTGGCTTCTGGTGACGGAGTGTGGCTCAGAGCTCCTTCACCCTAGGCTCTGCCTGCCCCCTACCTGCCCCCAACTCAGGCCCCAAGACAGGGTTGGCAGTAATTCCCCCAGCTCCATGGACCAGTCAAGGATGAGCGACAGTCCCCACATCCCTCAGCCTTTTGTGACCCAGGATGGGTGGCTCGAGGGTCCTGTCCCACGAGAGCCACTCCCTGTCCCAGCACTGAAGAGCCTGGCTGCAGAGCCTTGTGGAGCCACGGGCGCCGAGCAGCAGCACCTTTTCCAGTAAGTCCCCCGCAGCCCTCCTGGGTGCAGGCAGCGGACCCAGCTAAGACTCCCGCCATCACTGCCAGCTGGTGCCCCCGGTCTGACCCCAAGGGGCAGATGCCCGGAGGCAGCGGGGGCAGCAGGGGGCCACTTACTGGGCCGGCAGTCATCAATGTCGCTCTCGCAGTTGAGGCCGGTGTAGCCAGCCTGGCACAGGCAGCGGTAGCCGCCATTGGTGTTCTGGCAGGACGCGCCATTCCGGCAGGGGCTCTTCACACACTCATTGATGTCAACTTCACAGGTCTGCCCTGTGGGGAGAAGGAAACTGAGTGTCACTGTAGCCTCCATCTCCAGGCCTCTGCCCTGGTCGATCTGCCCACCTGCCTCTAGGGCAGGTCTCCCCAGCCCCAGCACCACCCTCCGCTCCCAGTCTTGGGCCAAGACTACAGAAAGGAAAGGAGTTGGGTGCTGGTGGCTCACGCCTGTAATCCTAGCTATTCAGCAGGCTGAGATCTGAAGATCACGGTTCAAACCCAGCCGAGGCAGAAAAGTCTGTGAGACTCCTACCTCCAGTTAATTATGAAAAAACTAGAAGTGGAGCTGTGGCTAATGTGGTAGAATACCAGCCTTGAGTGTAAAAGCTAAGGAACAAGTGCTTACAACCAGAGTTCAAACCTCAGTACTAGAACACACACACACACACACACACACACTCTCTCTCTCTCTCTCTCTCTCTCTCTCTCTCTCAGAGAGCAGGAAGTCAGAAAGGGTCCTCCAAGGTCAGCTCCTGGCTCTAGAGCCTCCAGACAGGTGGCTCCTGGGTACTTACACATCCAATTCCCAACACCAGAGCCCACTGCTTTCTGTCCAGGAGCCGGCCCAGCCCCTAGACCAGCCGGCCTCCCCACTCCAGCCCAGCTGGGACCAGGCCAGCCTCACCCTGCCATCCTGGGGGGCAGACGCAGGAAAAGCTCTCGTAGTCCTCTGATTCCTTGCACACCCCACTGTTTTTGCAGGGGCTGGGGGTGCATGGCGCCAGCACCACCTCACACGTGGCCCCTGGGGGAGAGACACTCATGAAACCACGCCCCCCCCCCGCAGGCTCAGCCTCGACATTCGGTGAAACCGGGGGCCCTGCCTCGGCCTCGCTGACCAGAGCCTGTCATTAGCAGCTCAGCCGGTCCCGCAGGAAGGCAAAGGCAGGCAGAGACCCCCATGTGCTCTTCCAGCCAAGACTGGACCCCAGAATCTGAGGGAAAGGCCGGGTGTGGGACGCTGAAGGCAAAGCAGAGGCAGCCTCATGGCACGCCTGCTCTGGGCCTCGCCTGCCCGCCGGCGTTTTCCTGCCTGGGAAACAAGTGCACCAGGGCAGAGCGGGGCTCATTCCCCACCCAAGCCTCCTCCGTCTCCCAGGGGTCAGGAGAGGCCCTGGGCTGACCCAGGCTCCAAGGCACAAGAGGCTCTTGAGGAGGCTGTGATGGAGGGGACAGGCCTGCCCTGCGTGACAGGAAGAAGGGACCGCAGTGTTCCCAGGAGCACCCACTGGCGCACAGCCTTGGGGGCTTCAGGCTGGGTGACTGAGGCCTGGGCTGGCTTTCCTGTTTATGGCCAGGCGGGTCTCTGAGGAGGAGGAAGCGCTATCGTCCTTGTCTCCCACTGTGTCCCCGGCCTGCCACTGTGACTTTCCAGGGCCTCCCTTTCTATCGGTTTCCACGGTGACCTGGGCAGGCAGGAACTTCACCAGCGTTTCCGACAATTGTGCAAAGGGAAGCAGGAAGCAGGCAGACAGGAAGCGGGTCAGCACAGGCCGGCCCCTCCCGCTGGGCCTGATAGGGACATGTCCGAAAGGGACTCGGGCTAGGCCCAGCTGCTGACAGCTTCCTCACGGGCCGAGACCGGAGACAAAATCCAGGCCTCTAACTCTGGTGAAAGCAAACACCATCCTGGCCACTGGTCACCGGGAGTCCAGGGAACTTAGGGGCCGACCTGCACCCTGTCCAGGCCCCTCAGGATACCCAGGGCCCACCCCAGGGGGCTGTTAGGCCTTTAGACCTTCAAGTTTAATGCGCATGTCTCCCACAGTGGGGGGCCCATCTCCCAGGATCCCCCTGGCCAGGCCTACAGCAGGGCTGGACACTGGGGAAATGTCTCTCGCCTCTGCAAATCTGAACAGAGGGTTCCTTGTCCCCTCACACAAAGAGGCCGCCGTCAAAGGAATCCTTAGCAGTGGAGGAAGTCAGCCCAGCCCCCAAGGACCATACAATGCGAGTAGATGCAGAGCCATAGAGGTCCCTGGCCCGGGCCCAGCCCCCTACCCTGCTCCACCTGCAGGGGTCCCCCAATCCCACTTGTCATGCAGCTACCAGATAAACCACTGGGACAGAGAGCAAACTTCTTCCAGGCTCCAGTACTCCAGGTGACTCCACCCACAGGGCCCCGGGGCCTCAGGGCTGCATAGCCTGAGGCCCTCAGTACAGAGAACCCCCCAGTCCCTCCCCAGAGAGCTGCCCCCCCAGCACGGCTGCTGCAGCCCCAGGGTGGGAGGCGCACCTGTGTAGGGCAGCAGGCAGTTGCACTTGTAGCCAGCCACGTCGTCGATGCAGGTGCCCTGGTTCAGGCAGGGGTTGGAGGCGCACTCATTGATGTTGGTCTGGCAGTTAGGGCCTGAAGGAAGAGGGCAGCACTGAGTGTCTGGGCCTGGGCGCAGCCCGCACACACCTGGCTCCCAGAAGAGGATGCCGTGCACGATGAAGGCCAGGATCGGGACCCTGAACCTGAGCCACAGGGAACCACAGTGCGTGGTGGTGCCCCCGCTCACCACTGAGCCCCCCCCCCC